TTTATTCTCTCATAGAATGTGTCCATCGTAAAATATATGTAAAATATCCAATCTCCTACAAATAGACGAAAAAAAAAAAAAAGCACCAACTAATCTTCTGTATTTTTTTTTACGCAAGAACACACCAGTGTTCTACAGTAGTAATATAGCGTCCCTTACAATATGTACATAGAACGTTTTCGACAAGTTTGTCTTCGTCGCTATTAAGTTAAGATGAGTATGTGCCTACGTTTGTGGGGGAGCAAGAATGAGACAGAGGGCAAGAGAAAGATAGAAAACGAAAAAGAGAGGGAGTGACATATAGAGAAGAAAGAGAGACGTTTAAGTATTTAAACGTGTTAAAAACAGGCGTACTGGTGTATACAAACGAATAGAAATTTACATAATGCGTTTAAATAGCTTCACGTTATATTCATTTCAACTGGCTCGGCCGTTTTCGTCCCGACGTGTAGCTATCGCCCCTGCTGCAAGTGTAGACGTTGTATTATATACAAATCTTATATAGTGACTTTGAACGCGTTACAATAATAACAGCTATTAAATAGATATCGTGCATAGAACGAATCTATGACCATATCGGCTGCAAAATAAAAACAAACGCGTGGCCGGATATGGGACAACAAGGTCTGAGTAGTCAGTCGTAATAACAGTGTTTATGAGGTGTTGTGCTGTGTTATTATAGTAATATATGTAAAGAATTATTATGAATTATGATGTCGTATGTTTGAATTGTACGAGACAAAATTTTCGATAATCGCCTCAGAGGTTCAAGTCCGCTATGATTATGTGTACAATATAATATTATAATATATTGCTTTTATTATCATTTATTGGCCACCGTATTTGTCGTCGAATAACACTGAGTCATCACAGAGACAACATCATTATCTACGATATAATAGTTATTGATTATATACGTAAACACGTTCTACGATACTATACTATGAACAATACAGATATCATGTGAAATAATATTTATAAACGTTTTCATTCTTAAATTAGCAAGTCTACTTTAAAACCGGTAGTGACGATTACCTGCCTATTATTATCGATCGTGTATTATGACGAATGACAACAATAAAATTTCTGCTCGCATTCGTATAAAATAGTGTATACATAATAAATGTATTTGTGTGAGCATGTGTGCCCGTCGATCGCATGTGCATAACTCGTAAAAATAATAATGTATTCTGAATATTACAATAAATGACGATAATAAAAAAAAATACGAAATGTTAATATATTATGTGAGTAAACGTTTCAAAATGAAAAACTGTCGTGGGTTTGATTTTTGTATAAACTAAACCATTTTATACAACTAGCTATATTGAATATATTACTATACAAGGACCATAGAAGTGGTTAAGTAGGTATATTGTAACTTACAAGATATATTATTTCCTGTGGTGTTCGCGACCGTCGCATACAAAAAGCAATTGATTAGGATTTTTTTCACAACGCTACAACTGCTTATAACCCAAAAAAAGGGTTTTGATTAAATAAAATAAAAAATAATAATTCGATAAATAAAAAAACATAAGGTTAACGCAAATTAAAATATCCAATACATACTTCAATAGAAAATAAATATTTACCACGAAAACTTAATAATATATTATTAAACGTAATATTTTGTTTTATAATAAACTATTATTTACTTTACTATGTATACATCGAAGATCGATAACTACATATTTCTAATATTCGGAGACTAAAATCGCTCTAAAATATCAACTAATATTTGAGATTACTATATTAAAATATTTTTCATTCATACTACATAATAAGAAAATGCTTAATTTAAATTTTTTGGCTGATATGATCGACCAAAAACTGAATTCTTTTTATCTGTATCGCGACACAATCATCATGATTCAAAAAAAACATTTAATAAATATTTATTTTCTAATCGTTTGAATCGCCATGAGCGCAATCGGCATTCAAAGTACCTATTACAGAATTATCTTAATAAAATATTATATTTTTATATACGAGGTGGTCTATTTAATATCACTATTTCAGAAAACATTTGAAAATATATTTTCTTGTGCATCATTTTCAGTTGTTACAAAACAACATTTTTGAAAAAAAATAATGTTCTTTCTATTTTATACAGCTATAGTTTTTTTTAAGTGTTTTATTCTTTTAAATTTTTACTTTCTTTCTCAGAAGCAAAATATTTTTTGTAGTATTTTAATCTATAAAATTCAAATATCAGATAAATATTGCAGTATTAGTCAAAATAGTTATAACTTTTACTTTATAAGTGTTAACATATAGATGAATGGAGTATCTACACCTCAACACCTGTACCACACCAATTCTCTTATCAAAACTTTGCATATTTCCTTACTCATCCAAAATTCGGTTTTTATATAACTATCGAAGTACTCCAAAAAATATTCAAATTTGGAATAAGGAATTTAAAATGCATGTTATCATTAAAAAAAAAATAAATATTTTTTAAAATTCAAAATCGTGTAAAAGAAATATCTACAAAAACGTTATTAGCTTATTTAAATAATAAGTGCTTTACGTCTAATAAACCGTTCGATATAATGATGTACAATATGAAGTATGTCCATTAAACGCGTCAAACGACGAGTGCTCGACCCGTTGTCGTCACCGAACGTACTTATTATAATATTATATAATTTAGGATGTGATTCTTTAAACGACCACAATAGTTTATCATAAAGATTCATCAAGACGTAATGATCGATGGACTTAATTAAAATGTACTTCAAAGACGTCGAGTTTTGGTGACGGCGAGAGAGTAAAAATGAGAAAAAAAACGAGAACGGTCATTCATTACATATATTGTAAAAAGAATAAAATTAAACGAAAAACCTTGCAGTGTCGTAGACAGAATATAAGATAATATATTATAATATAATATACACAATAATATAATCGACGCGTGAAACGACCACCCATCTACCCACCGGCACGAGTGCTCGGACCACGGCGACGGCATTACTCACTTTAAGTGTTATCGTCGCGTGTTAATTAACGCGAGTACACATAAATCTCCGAATGGTTTTTAAACAGAAAAAAAAAACGGAATAATTGCGCAATTATAACTATATGTGCATGACGTATTCCCGGCCGCGGATCGTTTCTAACCTCGCGAGAGGAGCACGACGAAAAACGTCCATTAATGTTCGTTAGGTCTGGCTTGTCGTACGCACACAACGACGACGACGATGATGATGATGATAATAATAATAATAATAATAATATAGTTAACGTACGGACGAGGAGCATAATAATATGTCTTAAATTTAGTCGTCATTCGATTGTTGCCCTCTCCACGCGCACGTCGGCTGCTGTGAAGGACCAACGCGTCGCCGTTCGACGTGTGTACATCGTCGTGATTGTATATTTTACGATATAGTTACTATTGTTAACGCACGCATATGCATTAGTATAATACACGAACGTATAATTTTGGACCATCGTCGCGATCGAATCGTTTAGAACGCGCGAGATTACAATATTATATTTTTATATGGTCGTACACGTTACAAAATATTTGTAAATAATAATATAGGACGTCTGCGTAGTACCTAGCCATATTATATATTTTTATGCAAACACGCGAAAATTGGTTTTTAACGTATTTTCGTGATTGAAAAAAAAAACACTAACAACACACATATTACCTAACCGTGTATATAATATTAATAATAATAAAAAACACGCTCATCCGAGCTGTACAGCGATTGTAGGTTTATAATATGGTATCTGATTATGTACATAAAAAACTGGTTGTACAGCAGCGACGTTGGCCAGCATAACGACAACAAAAAATGGCAGTCGTCTATGCCGCCGCTCGACAACAAACTATAAAATATAACCGTGACAAGGAACGAGTGGGTAATAATAATCGAACATGTAGATAATACGCAGTTATAGGTGTATACTGCATATTAGCGTTTCCAGATATCATAAAATCGTCTTTTACATGTTTTTTAGGTCCCCCTTTCCTTGTAAATCTTGTGCTTTTCATATAATTCATGCAAGGAAAAACAATCATTTACCGTACATAAGTTGAAAATCACTTAACGATAATAAAACAAAACAGACACAAAAATTTCCTCAACAATTTTGTTAGTATATATTTAACTAATTTAGAATATAATGCACTGTGTCTAGTATATATATATAAAATTTTCTATATGATATAATATTACATAATACGATGTGTGTCTATACGGCAGGATAATGTAGAAATATATTTAACGTGAGTACACAATTTCATAATTTTACATAGCTATGTATAACAATAATATAGTACATATCCTTATATACCTGCGCGTATAGATGTTACACAAAATTATTGATCTATATAATACAAAACATAATATTTAATCATTGTAAATTTACCCCATATCTATGTATATACTTTTTATTATACATTCATATACATATATAAATATGAAGATCGTGTTCTAGCAAAAAATCGTACAATTAGCGGTAATATAGATGTATAAAAGCATATAGACAAGATACGTTATTCATAAATTTTACAATTATAATAATAATAATAATAATGATAACTAATATACAAGTTAACACAGTGGCGTTCAAAAGAGAAAGGGAGGTTAAGGGATCGTGTACTCGTATATCAAATTCACCCTTGAACTTTATTTTAAGAATATTTGAATCATTTCATCGGGAGAAACACGGTATTTTTACGTTACCGTCCGTTTGAAAAAAAATATGGGTTGCCACTGCGCTAACCTGGGGTAATAATATTATTGCAATATTATCGTACATGACTGAGTCATATTGTATAATATTATAATCATAACACTAATTAAGGTCGGTTTTTAGCACCATTCGTTCACGCGAGAAAAGCATAATATTGTCTTCCCCGTCTGCAATTGTCAACAAACACATAACAACGAAATTATAATATTTAATTTACGCACCTAATATAATAACGTCACAATAAATAATAAATATATTATAATATTATACGCGCGCGACAATAATAATAATAATAATAATATAATATAATCCGATCGCAAAAAAAAAAAAAAAATTAAACAAATACACTTAAGACGAGCGTATTGCGATAACAATTTTAAAATGTTTTAAAACACATAAATATATAAATATCATACGTCGTCGCATCGTTGCGCCGTCGTTCCCAATAAACAGACTTATAATATCTTATTAATGCGTGTCCGCAGTGTACCGCGATAGACGTCACAACGACACGAGTACGAAAACATTAAAACATGTTATTTGCCACGACCATCGGGTCGGCAACCGCCCAAATCGTGGGGGGGGGGCGAAAAAACAAAACTATGCGGATTATTATTTATTATCTATTTTTAAACGAGAGTTATCCCCTCCACCGCGTGTCTCCCGTGACGACTAGACCTCGCGGAGACTCGTCGACATCGACGACGACGACGACGACGGCGGCGGCGGCGGTGATTGACGATCAAGTCCTTTGGACGGGCGCCGGTATCCGAGTGACGATCGGCGAATCGGGTTTGGAGTCCTTCCGGGGACTCGGCGCCATCACCGCGAACCGGTTGATGATGTCGGCCACCTGTTGGCAAAACGTGTCGGCCGACAGTTGCGGTCGCTGTTTGGACGTCCAGTGCCGGCCGCCGGTCGCGTTCCACGTGTTGTTCCGGCCCAGCAACGGGGTGGCCGGCGACGACGACGACGAAAACGGAGGTTGGTGTTGACCCGCCGCCGCGGCACCGTCCGCGTACGATGCGGGTGACCTGCGGCTGAGCGTGGGTGTCTGCGACCGGCCGACCGCCGGTGCAGGATGATGTTGCTGCTGTCTCGACGATTGGGTGGTAGAACGGTTCCGGCGGAACGGCGACTGTTGCGGGCTGGGCGTCTCTTTGCCACCCGCCGAACGGCTGCGAGGCGGCCGCGTCACACGCGTTACCGGTGGCGTGCCTGCAATCAAAAATGCGTAACAATGACAAACTATTCGGCGACGGGTTACTTGTGGTTAGATTAGGTTTTAACAATTTATTATATACGTGAGAAATACACGCGGTAGGCGCGTGCTTGAGGTAAACTTATATCACAATAAATATACAATATATAAACACCGGACGGCAGACGCAAATGCTGAACAGCCAATAACCACTAATGCTAAGTGGTGGTATCAGGTCGTGACTTTCCCGCTGTACACCCTTTATTTTATTTTTAAACCATTAGACGAGGGGGACTGAAATAGCATTTCTACCCCTCTCCTTCAACGCACTCTATAATGAGGTAAAACTTATGAGTATTTCGAATTATTTTATCTTCAATACTCCTCCACAACAAAGGTTGTGTACCTAATATTATGTGTATTATTATTATAGCTTGTAGCATAATTGTAAACTATTATTAGTATTTTATTAATAATGATTATTTAAAAATGTAATATAACTACATAACTCTCTATCACCGTCATAAGCAATTCTCACTTCTCACTGGAGATATATAAATCATTAATGTGTATATGTATTTCTCTTGTAAATGTAATTATTTGATTTATATAAAAAAAAAAAAAAATGATTATTTTACTTACAATCAACCATATTAAATTTTTGATATTTATTATTAGCTATTATCTTCGATAAATATCATTTTAATCGTTGTCCAATAAAATTGGTATGCAACTACATTTTTCATCGCGTAAAGATTTCAAGATTCACCTATTATTCTGTTGATCGAAATCGTCTGACAGATTCAATCTCGACGAACTCAATTAACCTGGGAATTAGGATATCTACCTACATTTCATATAACCGCAACAATAACTTACTTTTTTTTTGTTTTAATCAACAGTTTTAAATTTTTACGGAACTGAGACTTTTTACAAAGAACCGTCGGCGATATTATGCACGTAAAATCGCACCATTGTTTACTTGTTACATAATAATAATAATAATAATAATAATAATAAGCCATAGCGTTATGTCCCGCGGGCTAGTATAATAACATACTGATGACGATAATCGCGAATGTGCGCGCCGGTTTAGCGTGACGTCGTGTAGACGCGTTCGCGGTGACGATTATGGCGCACGTAATATGTCTTATAAGTTATAATGTATGTTAAAAAATGTATAGGCGTGTCTGACAGTGTGGACGGTTAAGTCATATAATAATAATATTATGTGTGTACGTTGTATTATGTGCTCGGCTGGCGTAGGTATAACATAAATAATTATAAAATATAAACATAAATATGTTTTTTTTTTTTTATTCCGTCTCTCGTTCGGCGTATTTCAATTTCCCCGCGGCTATTCATATTTCGGCCGTCTCTGCAAATCGTGAGCCCAAAACATTCTGCAATCCGTTTCAGACGTAGTATTCTTTACATATAGTCGTCGTTATACAAGAAATCATTAAATTATAATCGGTATATGCGCGCAAGAAATGTCCATGGAGTTGGGTTAGGTCAGTGTAAGGTTAGGTTAAATACGTGCTCAGACGACTATATAGGTATATTATACTTCTTCATCACCCCACACGATGGGAATCGAAGAATTGACGGTGTCAACTCACGAGATAAATCAAAAATTAATACGCTATGGGTTATTCGTATTTCCATCGTTGCGTGTAACATATACAAGTTGAAAAAATGAACCTGAGATGTACCTATACCTATGGTTATTTTACCGCGAGTTCGAGATGCATTTCCGTTTTGCGTTATTTGTTGCTATACTGCATGTACAGATATCCTATCAACCGTTCCTATCGTCAGCTCTGACTACAGCGTGATTATTTAAACACGAAATGCTCATCATCCTTGAAAATTTTGCCTTTTTTTTTATATGTGAACCTTGTAATTATTAGGATTACATATATGATATAATTAAGTTTATAACCGAAGCAATCGAGGCATTAGACTAAAAATGTTTATCGTTCTCAGTTATATTAAAATGTTTAAAAAACATTTTTTTTTTTTCAACTGATAAATATAATAAATATTAAATTAAAATTAAAAACAATCATTAACCACTCTAATTTAGCCGACATAGAATGATAAATGAGTTCGTATACAAGTGACAACGACTATAATCCATATGCCATTATATTATACTCATGGGTAATTCATTACAGTATACAATATAGTATTATCGTCGATTTATATTTATTGTTTTGTATTTTTTTATTTATCATTTGCGTTTATGGTTTGTTTAAAAACTACATTATATATTGTTATATATTTAGCCACAAACTGGATACGCTTTTCATTCGTTTCCCTCTTTTTCTCCATTGTCAATTTAACAAGTAAAAGTTATTTTTTCTTATTTTCAAGATCACGTCATGTTGAACAACCATCATGCCTTATTATTACTTAAACATTACGTGTTTTTCCCCAAATACAATTAAACCACTTTTCGTTAAACGCACGCTTTCGAAAATAAAATAAAACAACTATAAACAAAACATCGGGTATGCCAATATTTCTCTATTATTTTAAAACTATTATGTAAAATATATTTTAAGAGGTAATATTTATACAAATTAAAAAAAAAATAATAATTATTTTCTTCGTACAGAAATTGTATAGTAAAATCACTGTTATCAAATCACGTTTATTTCGCTTCAATATACTCCATCGTCCGAAAACGAACGCAGTGCCTACGTAGTACCTATGTAATAATAATATAATGCGTTTAATATGTGTAATTGTATATACCAATCTAATGGCACCGCTTCGAGCTGCACCCTTCGATTCCAGTTCAGAAAAACGATGCGATTATAGGTAAAGGTACCCGACATTCCTGTTTTAACTTATTCCATCGTAGTCGGAGTGCAATCCGATCAAACAAGTATAGTACGCGCGTGGGCAATTTTGACGGGCTGAGAAATTTTTTTTTTTAAAAATCTGAACTCAAATCGCTGCACCGCATACGTGGTTTTGGCTAGAAGTGTCAAAATGTGGGCGAAATAACATTAAATGCGCGTGGATTAAATTATTCGCTGGAATAAGCGTATATGTATGCATATAATATATAATATACCTACGTGATGATGTATGGGCCAGCCAACTGAAAACATGTTGAACTACGTAAGGTTTCGACACAGTAGTCTGGATAGTGGGAAGGTGTTTGCATGACAGTTATGTATACTATAAGGGATTGGTCAACTAAATCTGGAGACAGCGTTCGAGAAGGGAATATTTATGGACTTCATGTAGTTTTGAAATTCTAGTTAAGCTATAAATTTTACTTGCGTAAATCATTCAAATATAACATATAATATAATGTGTATAATATATTTTACATGGATAGAGGTATGCGTTATAATTTATTATACCCATACATAAATATATATCGTGCCAACAGTGATAACAGCGACGAGACTAATGCATATAGTGTCATAGTGACCAAATGAATGGTCTTCACCATTGGACATTTCTCAATCGGTTTAATAATACCATACCTAAATACCAATACAGATAATGATAAAAGTAATAATAATAAAAATAATGTAGCGGCATTGAGAAATCACAACAAAATGCGAATAACGTTGTCCAGATAAGATAATTATTATTGCAATGGTTTGATGTTCCCGCATATAAACTGCGATGTTACTTGTAGGAAAGGAGATGTATTATATATTGCTATATCATGTACCTCCACTACATCAACATATTATTGTAATCAATCCTACCTGATTTAATCCTTTGGCGTTCGTGTCGGCTACGAGTTCTCTCATAATATTACATTCATAAACTTTAACCACAATCAGATATACTATAGAATATAGTTATAAATTATAAGTATACAACTATAAAAATATACACGGCAATTCAATAAAACATGCACGAAACTTAAAAAAGTATTCTACCAAAATGCAAAGCAGTTTTATCAAAACACGTATAATATGTACATACTAATCTAATTTTTATTTACACATTTATTGTGCGACTACTAAACCCATGAGAATTAGTATTTCAGCATAATTTATAATTTATTAAAACGAGATTACCAATCGTGACAAAACGCTTGTGGCTAAGCGTGGGATGTTACCTGTATAGTAATATTACAAAACTAATTATTACATATTATTATAATTAATTCTTTGTGGTGATCCTAAGTCAAAAGTCGTTTCTATTGAACTGAAAATTATTTATACTTTATTTGTTTAAAAATAAACACACTAAAAAAAAAAAAATAATTAACATTTGATAATTTAAAATATTATTTATTTGTCTCACGAAATTAAATATGATAAAAATAGAATGTCTTTTATATAAAGATGAATATCAATACCGAATTATTTTCGTTATAATTTATTAAGTATGTTTTATTTTATAAAGTTAAGGTCATCGCAACATTTATTTATTATTTACAATCTATATAGATACCTGATACCTACCCATATGCATATTATAGCATAATGAGCCAATCAAAAACCAAAAAAAAAAAAAAAAACTTTTTTTGTATGTACGTTTAGACTCGCAGATACATTATATATGTAGGTTTATAAAATTGCCATTATTAAAATAGAATTTTCTCTGACATACATCATGTCAATGCCAATGTCAACGATCCGAGAATATACGTATATTATTATAAACATTTTTAATATATGCTAATGATATTATAAACAGATAATTGTGACTGAATAACGTATATTATCAAACCTAGTGTAGAAAGTATACAATCTACACTAAGGTAGACAAAATATATAATATATCTTTCTTTTTTTTTTCTATTTTTAATAACTGAATTTAAATGGATAAAATATGGAAATAGTTAGTGCGGGTTAGACAAATATATGATGTTTATTATATATAAAAATATTATTATCACATAGTGCTCCCTCTACTATATGAACGAAAATCTTAACGATATTTTGCGTATTACATTATGACGCTTACCATTAGATTTCTGCACGTGTTTCACGTTAGAGTTGAATGGCGGTGAAGCCACCACTCCTAGACTCCTATAGCCCTCGTCCGATACTTCCGAGCCGCTATCCGTGCCCACCGGTTCCGACTTCTTCGCGACGTCCCCTCGGGTCGAATGAGACTTTTTCCGGCCCGTCGCCGCAGATGGACAATCATACGGGGCCACCCTCAAGCTGTCCGACACGCGGCTGAACGGCGTCGTGTCTACTACGGACTCCTCCTCTCTGACGGTCGAGTGCCGCCTCTCGTCGATGGCCGTCACGGGCGTAGGGTTGAGAACGTGGTACTGTCCAGTGCCTTGGAAATTATCCGACACCCGACACGTGGACGACGTGTCCACGGTCACATCGTCATCGTCGTCATCGTCGTCGTCGCCATCCTCGCCGTTGTTCCGGCCACAGTCCGTTTTTCCGGTCTCGGGTTGTACGTCCACGGACGACTCCCTGGACGATCGATGCAGACGATCGCCCAACTCGGCGGCTAGTTCCGACGTGAAGTTCAACGAAATCTTCGGCGTCGGCGTGTCGTCCACTCCGCTTCGTTGTTTCCGCGCGGCTGACGGCGATCGGCTGCGGTCGCTGGGCTGTCGCTGTCCGTTGGGCACATGCAGCAGACGATCGCCGCCACCGTTAACCGTTCCGGACGAAGGCGACGCCGACCGTCGCGCACGTCTCCCGCTGGGCGTCACTGATCTGGACCTGCAGGCCGCATTGCCAACGGTCAAGTGGTCGGCGGCCCGCCGGGGAGTGGGGCTCCTGCTCCGGCGGCCCGCGTCCACGGGCGCGCTTAGTTTGGCGGTTGGCCGCGGCGACGGCGATCTGCTTCGGCGGCGGCTCGCCCGCTTGGCCGTGGCCAGACCACCGGACGTCAGACTTAGGCCACCGGAGTAACCGCCGTTACCGCTACTCCCCGTACTGGACGTAGACGAGCGTCGTGTTCTCGGCGGTGATCTATAGATTTTACACACATAATACATGTATACGGAGGAAATGATAAATATTAGGTATATGATATTATATTATATTATGTGTTATTTGTACGATTGTTGTACGGAACTGCAGCAGGACTAAACGGACACAGTGTTGTATTTAGGGCTGTGAATATAATGTAGGTCAGGTAAATATTAACTTGATTCAGTTTAAAAATTTAATTTAATTTATGATTCACAATTTTATTAAAAAAGTGTCCAGTATCAAGTGCAAAAAGCTAAGTTATTTTAGCTGTCAATTAAACTCCTTAAGTTTATAAGTTGATTAGAAAATAAACTAACTAATTAATGTTCACCTTTGATTTTGTGATAATATTGCGTAAATATTATATGTAAATGATAATTTGTTTTTAAGCTTCGAACTCCAATTTTCCAACTTAATAAAAATAACTTTGGATTGACATTATAGTTGTTTAATTGTTTTATTTTTTTCTTATAAAATTATTTTTGGGATAATGTCACCAAAAAAAGTACTAGGTATTTCATGTGTATTTTGTTTGAATTCTCTATACAAAAACAAAAGCATCTCTTAACACTCGTAAGTCATAAATCTATCAAGCCAAATCAGGCCATACAACCTTCACCCTTGAACAAGCACAATTTCCGGCTGTAACTCTTTATAATGTCCAAGTTCCTTTATCTCCTACGATTAAATATCTCAGACTAATACTCGATAACCGTCTAACCTGGGCACACCAAACTAAAAGACTGTAGCTAAATATTAGGCTGTGAATGCTGAAGACACTCCTTATTAACAATAAACACAACAACCTAAACATTTAACTACTCATGTACAAATCCCTATCAAAATCTATATGGACCTATTGACAATTTATTTTAAATACTTAACAGTAGAAATAAATATCGCATATTTATATATGCGACTAGTTGCAAGAGCATGCACGTAAAGGCCACATAACTGGCGACTCGTCGCTAACATGTACATCATCAACATTATGTGTCATTTATAGGCTATGGCTCATGGATCTATCCATTGTATATGATCTTAGTAACCACGGTCTTAGAATCAGGGCCGGATTTACGCCTAGGCCTGTGAAGCCCGGGTCTAGGGTGGAAAATTTTGTAAGAAATGAAAAAAAAAATCATATGAATATTTTATGCATATATATAATTGCATAAATTAATATTGTATAATATTTAATACATATATTTAAAAAACATAGAAGTAAATTCATGAATTTGAGAAATAAATAAATTTTTTTTCTTGGGGTAGAAGCGAAATATTTTTAAGGGTCTAGGACGGCATCTGTTTATCTGTGTATTAGAATAATAATAGTTAATAGTTACCATAAACAATATCAAATAATACAGATAAGGAAAAAATGATACCTAATCAATAAATCAATTGTTACGAGTATATAAAAAAAACTCTAAAATTGGAAAATAAAATAACTATAATTATATGTAAATAAACAATAGTTAATACATATTATATATTTGTCGAGTATTCATGGGAGGAATTTATACCCCCCCCCCCCTGTGCACGCCCATGTAGAAGATGATATAAATGAACAGTTAACTGGTAACTGTAAGTAGGTAACATTATTAAACACTTAATACCAATACAATGGATAAACCGTTCTCCTCTTTAATTTTAAGTGCACTATATCACATGACAAAAATCGATTAGTTATAAGTAGACACTCTACACCAATTCCTTAGGATTTAAATTAGAATTGAAAAAAGAGGGAGTTACAATTTAATAAAAGTGCGTTCTCGAATAAGCATTTCAAAAGTTTTCTAAACGTGTTCGTATACCTAAATACAATTAAAATATACTTGAGAACTTATATCAAGTACACCGATTAAGTTTAATTAAAACATGTTTTGAACTCAATTATCGTTTGAAATTATTCCGTATGCTCATCATACATATTATATGTATATAAACTATAGATGTAGGTACTAATATACTAAACTGTCACGATTACTAATTTCAATTTTTTTTTTTTAAAATAGAAAAAATAAATAATGAATTCATATTTTATTAAACTGAGGATTCTTAATATCTGTTTAATGCATTATATTCACAGTCATCCTAATCGAGAAATTCTATTATTATAACACTGATACCGTTATTCGAAATAAAAAAACCTCCCGTCATAATTGCAGGTGTGGTGTTTATTTATTACTGTCGTATCTGATTATAAGATTATGCCATTCATTCTAACTGCACTGCGATGTCATAATAATATATAACCTTGTACTTTAAAACTCGTCAGTGCTTAAATCTTACTGATTTTATTATGTGAGTACATGTATACTTTAAGTTCTATGATACATTTAATGTTCCCATTGGAAAAAATGTTTTACAAAAAGTACAAGATTTTTATGTGTTTATAAACAAAAAAACCAAATGGATTATTAAATCTTTTTATTTTTCCCGCGTTATAAATGCGAAATTGTACATGCCTATGAATAATATACACTGCATGCAAATCCTATTCGGTACATGCTAAACGTATTAAACAAACATACATAATATACCTAATAAAATACAACAAAGTACTGACCTTTCGTAGTGTACTTGGGCGTGCGATAATTCCAACGTGGGCCCGCCGCTCCTGACACCCGTCAGTTTCGCAGATACCGGCGCTCGATGAGCTATTTAAGAAAATTAATAAAAAAAAAAAACAATAATAAAAAAAAAAAATAAAAAAAAATAAAAGCTAAAAACGATAAAACAACAAACACACGCATGACCAAAACTAACTACGATGCTACAACAACACAATACGGTATGTCCAGTGGGACATTTTACGCAAGAATCAATTGCACGACAAATAGCCTACACCAATACTTTATTAATGTTGACCTTGCAGGAAAGGTATTATTTTATTCGCTGCCGCCCATAAACTGTACGCCAATACGTAGGTATATACTATTATTATAAATGCGGGCATAATAACGTACGACTTTACGGTGTGTTGTTTTACGGACAAAAAATGTTTTTCCTCCCATTACATATTATATTTGTTTTTTCGCTTAGGTATAATGTGACTTACCAGTTTTGCATCGGCACGGGTCGTGTTTGTCCAAGTAATGAGACAGTGTGTCCCAACCTCCGCCCACTCTGACCATAACGTGACTCCTCAGTATCTATATAAGGATGATATTATTATGCACGCACACCAAATAGAACAGTATAATATACCAGTTGAATGTACAAAAGTATTTTAGAGAAACGATTTAAAATATACAAATCATAAGTACTTACCCTGACAAATATCAAGACTTTAGTATCACCAATACGGTATTTGCCTTCGGACACTCTAATCATCGGGAACTGGGTCGGACACTTGCATCTCTCCACAAGATCCCGTACCTAACGAAATAAAAATAAGGTTACGCGTACGTTAGGCTAATATATAAAAAAAAAAATAATAAGAGATGAGATTTTGTGGGCATGGCAATCACGTCGAACGCGGTAATTTTTATTTGGCACTTGAAGATACATGTATGTGCCATGTTTCATAGCAAACTAGTATATGATTAATATTATTGTTCATATTAGAAAGTACTCAACTACAATTCGAGAATTCAATTTCATATCAGTGGCCAAAAATATTAGAGTAATAATAGTACTTAAACAAATCAAACTAGCAATTATAATACAATTTTTTCCAGTTGAATTTTGATATACTTATTTTAGTCCATTTCAATAATAAAAAAAATATGTAATTTCGTTTATTTTCTATTATCTTTTTAAAAAATATCAGATTTTAATAAACTGAATAATATTTTCAATTCCTACATTGGCTACATTTCAAGTTTTAACCTACATTGCAAATAAACTATGAAATTCTGAAATTATTATTTAAAAAAAAGTAAATATGTTGCCATATTAATTTCAGGCTTTGTAATGTAACCTATTTACAATGAATTTTTTACCATTATAATAAAATATTGAAAAAAAAAAAAAAAAAATATGTTAAATTATTTAAAATGAGATAAACATAATAAAACAGACATATTATATTTATATATACAATATTATAACTATTAATATGTTCAACGTATTTAGTATTCATTATGACCAGCAATAATTTTAAGATAACGTATTAACTTGAACTATAATTTGTTCTCTCGTAATCGTAAATCAAATAATAAGAACATAATATTAAAACATTGATCGTGAGATAAAACTATAATAGAAAATAATAGAATTTAGCTATATGAATATTATATTATACAATAATGATTATCAACCCACGAAGTGTTTACCGAAATAACTGGTTTTACAGTATTAGCGTTTTATATATATGTATATAATATTACGTATATATTCACATGATATACTACATTGGTTTTATCTAATCATACAATTTAAGCAACATCCAAACATTTCGTTAGGATCAATAATTCCACGCAATATTGTGCACAAATGCACAATGTATTCATGTTTCCATTGAGCTTTCTGCTGCGATGCCGACTTATATATTTTTTAAATTAATTAACGTTATAACTGCGCATTGCACTGAATTTATTCTCATGTCATTGTACTAAATTTTAATTAAGTTGGGCCCGATGTATGTGATGTTGTATCAATCACAATCCACTGTGTTCGCACGAGTTGTGCCCCGGGTACGCTGCACCGGTGGCTAAGGTCGGCAACTTCTTAACGCTTTGTTTTCACTAATTCGCAGTGTCACGACGTTTTCTTTTTGTCTATTAAAAATCAAGGTTATGTGCCGCATTCATGCCGATAAAGGATTACAATTTTCATACGAACATCATTTTGATAAACAAAACAAAATATAAAACAATGTTATTGCTTATTGGACACTGATTTTCGATGCTAAAATAATTATTGTTCCACTATTATATTAAATACATATATTAAGGTGAATACGTGTGAATTGATTAATTGTACAAAAATACCAAAATGTAATACATTTGTTTTGAATACGAAATGTAAAAATAGTTATGTTTTTATTGTGTCAATTTAGTTGTAACTAAATACGATCATTACAAAATATAAATGTCAACAAAACAATTCTATTTCACATAAAATAAAGGAAATATTATGAAGTTATTTCGAAATAATTGATTGTGTTCAATAAGTACAAAAATATCAAGTTTATTCAAAGTAAAAATAATTTCAATTCTATAAACAATGGTTATATTTTTTATAATGATAGTTTAATAATTAATGTATTTCATATAGGCGTAAGGCTTTATGTTTAATCCAAGAATATTAAGCAATCATAAAATACTTTGTACATTGAAGTACTATTGGTTGCAATTTTATGCAAATATTCAATGCCCTAATATATATATATATCCATACGCACTTTTATGTAAACTTATTCTTTCAAACGTTGTATATAAACTGTATTTATGTCATAATTCTAGAAATATTTACTTGTTTCTAATATAAAAATTTCTTTCATTCTTTCTACATATTATAAAATAATTATTGTTTTATACATAAGTACCTTTCTTTTAGTCCAATATTTGGTTAATTTAGTAAATTATGATTACCACTATAATTCACAACATAATTCCGTTACTTATTATACCATTTGCACAATTAAGGCAAGTAGGCAACTACACTTTCAGATAAACCGTATAACATTAAATTATATTTCTCAATTAATTTATAATACGTTCAATACTACAAAAATTTTACTTCCTAACTGTGGTTTTATCATATCATTACAGTAAGTACTACTCTTAATAAAAAATTAAAAAGTAATGAAATATTAACTCTAACACGTAGAATGGATAAAATTTGTGGTTACCTACATATTATATTAATAATGCATTAATGTTATCATGAATTCGCGTTGTAGTACTTTTTACATGTAAAATAAATTGAAGAATCGTTTTCTAATATTAAGATTAATCATACTTAAGTTTATTTTTATATGGATAAATGGTAGAATGTAATTAGATATTATATAATGTAAAAACATATAATTTAAATAGTTTATCTATGAGGTAACAACTTGTTAGTTGGAAAGTAATAACGAATTCAATTCAGTATTATAATATAAACAACACCAATCTACATTTCTATCATTAAACATTGTTCATTATTAATTAAATATTTCAATTATCACACTTACCATTTCATCTAAGCTTTTTAAATCGTTAGTTACAATTTGAGGCAATGGCGCATATTCGGTTAGGTCTTCGCCGTCACTCAAATCAGTATCATCGCCATCATTAAAATCAGTTCCTTGTGAAAATTGAGCATACTTTTTATCTGCTGCGATTTCCCGATCAATCTGTCTTTCCATTTGTACTAACATCGGAGCTGGTACACCAACTCTGGCACCACGTCTAGCGACCTAGAAAAAGAATTCAACCATTATTTTTTTATTGTTTTTTCTTTAAATATTTTGTGTAATACAATTTTACCTCTAATAAACATAAGATCACGTGTTTTTCATTTTTTCGCATTATTAGATCATCGGTTTCAAACAACAGACACTCAAATACGCCAAGTCCGTTTCTGCACCAATTGATGAAATTGGAAACATTGTCTCTAGCAAAAAATGTACCACCTTTAGCGCCGGGTAAGTATCGCACTGGTGGTAATTGAAGAACTAGGCTCGCAATGCCGCTAATATTAGATTTCCCAGCCGCTTGTCTTCGATTCACGTGTTCCTCTGCATAGTTTCTTACACAGTTTGAATGCTACAAAAATAAAATAAAATATCTTGTTAAAGGTTGTATTTAAATTAATTAACATGCTTACCGATAACTTATAATAATGTATTTTATATCTTAATTGTCATTTGTATTAAGCATTGCTAAAAATTAAAATTAGATAGCTTTGAACATGGGTATTTATTATTTTTTAGAATAGCAATGATATTATATTTTTAATGAGTATCTATAAGTACTTTGTTCATTTTTTTAAGAAGTCAACAGCTATAATTATAAAAAAAAAATATGTATAATATATACGTTAAAGTAAAAATAAACAATACTACGCAGTTGTCTATAATTTTCCGTCAATCAGATAATCAAATTATTATTTTTAAGCTAACACCTACGTAGTAGATTTTAAATTAAAAAAAATACCGAAATTTTAGATGAGTCTAACCATGTTCCAGTTTTTTGCATGTCAAGGCTGATTATTAAAATAATAATACTTTGCTACAACCGATCGTTTGTTAGCATTCACTGTAATATATTGAATATTGATACGTCATCCATACAAGTATTCAACAGAGTATAAACAAGATAGTACAGTTAAATACAATAAACCGTGCGAAACACACATTCAGAGTTAACTAGACTTGACACCTATTACTAAATTATTCAAAAACAATTCAATAATGTATTTGAATGCGTTAACCGTAATTGTACTCAATCAATTATTTAATTCAGTAGAAAATAGATTGGAACAATTGTGTACGTTGACAATGTACCTGATAATGAATATTGAATGCATTTTGGTCGCAAAGTAAACACTAGCATATTTCAGAAAGACCGTCTATACTTAATATAAATATTTTTCCTCCAAGTCTGCATACTAAATGCAAATTTCTTACAATTTATTAATTTCTTCTAATTTATTGATTATTAATTGAATCAGACAATAATTAAAAATATGTTAATATTTTTTTTATACATTATTTAACTTCGAGTGAAAATTCAAATATATTCAATACGAGAGATTTATTTAGGTCAGTCTATTGTTATTAAATCAAGGCTAAACTTAAAAAGGCTTCTACACTTATTTGTACCTTAATCCACATATAACGTTAAGTACTCGTGAACTTTTAACCAGAGCAATATTTTTATAACCATAACTACAATAAATAATTGTTTACTTAAATTATTATTTTTTTCTATATTATAAAATAAGTCAATACATTAATAATAAACCATAACAAATCATTATCCTAATAATATAAATTAGTAGTTTAAACATTAATTATTCATACATTTTTTTTATAAGCATTTAAAAGATAACTCTATATCCTTATAAAGTAGTTAGGTACTTTTTAAATTACCTGAAAATTTAACTAAACACCAATATTTTAGTCGAAAAAATAAAAATATTAATAGTGTGATTTCCTTGAAGAAATTAAAGTCTACGCAAGTTGAATAAGAATTCTTAATTTTTTATTTGACATATAACAGATTTCAGAGACATTTGTTATACAATAAAATATTGTATATTTATCAATAAATATTATGTATTTAAAATATAGTATACAAAACCAACATACAGCTTAGCAAGTGTATAATATTATTCGTGATATTATGTTAACATAATATGTATGTCTAGTGTCTACTATAATATCCTAGAGTAACTTATTGATAGACAGATATTTCTTTTCAAAACTAAAAAACTACACTATTATTATATTATTTATATTCAGTTAAATAAAACGTTCACATATATACAATTTCAGAATGGCGGTGAAAAAAGACAATGTAGAGCAAATCGAATTGCAAAATAATCAACCGTAGCCATTTACGTAGCAAAAATTTTAATCTGAAACTTGCATTGAAAGTATCACCATTTTCTATTTCCCTATAAACATATTGTTTTCGTTTCACCCAAGCTATATAATATTTCTCATCTGCTTTGGTCAATCGAAACCTGGGTATAGGTATAACGCTTTCTAATAGATTGAAAATAATCAGTGTAATGTCCTTCCTTGCACAACAACCAAAACGAATCAAAATAATTTATTTCCTGTCATTAATTATTACCGTTTCTATAAGCAAATTCTTACATTATAGTTTTTGCCAAAAACCTAAAAATAAACTATAATATAGAAAGAAAATATTAGTTAACTGTATTAATATATAAAATACGTCATGTAAAAAAAAAACCTATTGCAATAAAATATTATATAGATGGAATCATATAAAATAATCAATATCATGTAAGTTCTTATACATTAATAATAAGTAAATTACTATAAATTAAAGCAGATAAAGATTTCATTAATTTATAAAAATATAGTGGTCAGTGGAGTACCGATTAATGGACATTTATAAAATTAGTAGTATATACTAAGACTTTTCAATAACTCAGTATTCATAAACCGAACTTTTTAAATAAATTACATTTGTAGAAAATATAGACTCGGATTAAACTAGTTTATACAAGACGTTATATTCGTTATGAATAAATAGTAAATTTGTAGGTAAATACATAACTAACATGTGACTAAGGTAATAATTGGTAAGAAATAAAAATAAAATACAAATAATAATTTAAAAATACCATATTAACCATAATACCATTATATAATTCAACAAAATATATTATACCTATAATTGTAATTAATTTAAATTATAAGATAATAACAATTTATAAAATTTGTTTTTCAAAATGCTATTGGCTAAATATCATTACGTTTTAAATGAAATAATTAAATCATATTTATTGGCTAACTAAAATTTTTCATTTATCATTTAACGTAATTTATGATAATAGATAATACTATATCAAATATCTGAAATGTATATACTTTCTACGGTTTTTGATCTCTCAAACATTATAGTTTATTTACCAGATTTCTTTTCGACCTTTACACTTGAATATAATTTGCAAATCATCATATACATTAGTACATAGTACATGTTAGTTTGACATACTATAACCATTTATTTTGACCCGATTTAATATAACCGAAAAAAACATTTGTAATTTTCATGAAAAACACCCGCAGTAGATTTATTTGTCGCGTAGATTATACTTGTTATATTCACAAATACCGTTAAATAAAAAGTTAACATCATTATTAAATTGTAATTGAAATAAATAAAAACTGATTACTAAACATAATAATTATTTAGTTGAATAAATTTAAAAAAATTGAGTAACGTGGTAATAATTATCATTTTGTTGATAAAATGTTCGTTAGCTGGAATAAGGTTTTATTAATTTTTGTTTTTTATGTATATATATTTTATCACTTTTTCCATAGTATTTACATAGAATTATTATAAAACTGTACATGTGTTGGTAAATGATAATTAAAAATCTATGTTCTAAGAGAGATACGAAAACCGACACTCATCAGTAATAACTTATAATTTATATCATTTCCGGTGTTCGGTCATGCGTCGTAAGAAAAAACAATTATATAATCATGAGAACTAAAAAAAAAATATTTTAAACTTGAATAACAATTTAAACATATTTCTAAAAACTATAAGTTTAATAGTTTTTAAATTAAATGATTGTTTTTAAAAGTAGAAAAATAAATGAACTAAATTTTTAATTTATTAACAATAAATAAAAAGATATGAAAAATTACAAAATTATAGTTTAAAAAAATGTTAATAGATTTCATAGTTTTCCCAGTATTTTTTTAAGATATTGTTAGTAGATACATGATGCAGATATCGCTAGATGCAGTATCCAATCTAGTTAGTATATTATGGAAATGTAATTTCTAAGTTATAAGCATCGAATGATATAACAACCACTATAAAATAATAAGTAATGTATGTAAAACGCGATAAAATACTATCTTTATCCTAGGCATAAAGTATTTAAAATGTTATAACAATGAAATATGGTTGGGTGGTACATATAGTATACTAATGACTTGTATAGTGGTACATAATACGACCTATTTTAGAGATAACATCAAATATAGTACACGTACACATCATCAAGAGAACATATAATATAATATATCAATAAATTGTATGCAACTAACAGTGGATTATGTCAACAAAATAATGCATTATTTCAACAAATAAAGATAGATTTATACGATTTTAAAACTGATAATACTAATATGATACACGAGAGAAAACAAATCATGAAACTATGTCTTAAAATCTCGTCGATCAAAGTATAGTTCAATGCGGAAAAATTTTTATGAATTTTGATCATAATATACAACACTGAACGGGTACATGGATTATTTGTCAATTTTCTTTATTTTCAGATGCCGTTAATACATTAAGGTGTTTTAAACATATAATGGAGACCATCAATAAATGGACGGAGCACGTTGTACGTGATTTCCTACAGGAAAGAGAAAATCGTGCTGCAATCGCATGCAATACAATAGTGTACGGGCGCGTACCGCGTTCAACGGTATGCGGAATAGAAACTATCTATACCTACCTATAATATGCAGTGAACATAATCGATACGATTTATTAGAATAAGAACGAGCCAAGTACCTATAATAGCACTTAGATGCATAATTGTAGTCAGTAATTGACTAAATATTCCATATATGTGCACACAAATAGGCGAATAGTTGAGTATACGTGCAGATTAATGGTTAATATATAGACACGTAATATTATAATCTTAAAAACAATAACTTTATTTACAGATTACCTTAAAATTATACCCGCGAATTCATTGAATAGATTTCAGTGTCAATAAGTGGTTATTTCCTCTATATCCCTTTATCATAACCACTTAAAATAGTTTAAACTTATGATTAATCGAGACGAATAAATAACAAGAACAATGATGAAAAACTATTTATCAATTATTATTTGGCAATAAATATTAATGTAATATTAATAAGAAAATTAATTTTATATTATGTGTCGGACATGATTTATCTATGTTTTCAAATATTTATTTGTATTTTTTATATGTAGACTAAATATTATAATAAACTTTTATTTATTTTAACTATAATTAATTATGCTAAAAAAAGTACTAGATGATGTAAAGAAAATTATTTAATGATTAAATTTCGATCATAATTAATACACATTGATAATTAGTTATTACAGTCATCGATGGGTTTTTTTGTCCTAGGTAGATTAGGATCGTTTAAAGAGCCAAACAAATACTTAACACAACACTATTCATCAGTGTTCTTTTAATTATATTATACATAACTCATCAATTTATTTATAATACTATACAATGTCATAAAAGATAAAAAAAAGTTGTTTATACTGAATAATTAATTAATCTTACTTAAATTTAGAAGTGAATAAAAACTATTTAGTAAAGAGTATTAACAAATTATACTTTTAATTTTTTGAAAAAATCATCTAAGTCAACCAAAAGTAATAATAATAATACTTAACAATTTTATTTGATTAATTGTTATTATTTTGGTTGTGTAAGTACATTTATTTTGATAAACACAACCATACGATAAATTTATTATATATTCAAATATTTTTTATGTTAAAAAAAATGTAGCACTTTAGTAGGTAAAAAACACTTTTGGTTCGCTTCTACTTTGTTGAATTGAGTTAATCATATTACATTATTTTATTTTATTATATTGCCATATTCTGTTGACGTAGGTACGTTGAAATATTTAGTTATTTATTCTAAATCTAGAAGTAAACTTAAAAAAGAGAATGCCGCAGAGTTTAAAAATACTTGTCGTTAAAATGGAATGACCTTTTTAAACGGAATCTTCCAGAGAGATTAAATCTCGACATTGTAAGATCCATGCCAAGTCCATTCCAACTCTGGTCTCGACAAAACATTAAAATTTGTTAGGTAAGTGCTTACAAATATATTGAATAGAGTTATTTAGAATATAGACATTAAATGTATTTAGTAGATACTGACGTATATTACAACTGGCCCGACAATATTTTATTACAGCACATAGTTCGTGTTTTAATTTATATCTTATTATCCCACTTATGCATCATAATCCACGCTAAATTGTGATTAATAAAAAAAATAAAATATAACTTTACCTTGCACAAAGCCACGCCGGTATCAAGTCTATCCATGAAATTATTTACGTTTATATAGAGCTCAGGATATAACCCATTCAGCCATTCAGCTAAATCCTCTTTCATAGCGTAAAGATATTCTTCACTGGACTTGAACGGCCGAAACGACCGTGATTCCACTAATAATGCCATCTGTAATAAAATATTTTACATTACTACGATACAAAAAACATTTGATACTGAACATCAGTGAAGTATTTTTGCAGGTTGTGAAAAAGTATTGTACCATAACTTATAATATGATTCAGTAACCCTGTAAAAAATGTATGTAGAATTTAATTCTTCTGAAGAATTTATTTATTATTAACATTTAAAGACTTTGAAATTTTACAAAATTACACAAATAAATATCATCACAATAAATAAATAATAATACATTTTAAAAATATCATACATTATATTCTTCAATATGCATAGTATACGTATTATGTATCTATAATGCATGTGATAAAATTATATACAATTATACAGAAAGCAAAATATATTTATTTTATTGTATTTTTGTGGAAAAATAATCCATCTAAAATAAATATTATTATTTAAAATATATTTTTATTTGTAATAGTAAATCATTTGTCATTTGAAATGTATATTATGTTAAAAAAACTCAATCTGAAATGTAATTTTATTCAAAATAATATTCTGTTGGAAACATTTACTTTTGTTTGAACTATAATAATATACTGAACAATATTAAATATTTTGTTACAATTCTATGTTTGCTCAGAAAATTATTTTTATAAAAATTTTTTGTTGAAAATCTACATAATTAAGTTATTGGTATACGGTTCCAAACAGGGTAAACAAATATTTTTTAAGAATAAATACATATATCGTATATGAACTAATACTATTCCACAAAAATACATTTACAAATAAATAAATACAATTCCAAAATAATTTCTTTCCGACGGTTTCGATTAAATACTTTCCAAATGAAATAATTTTCCAAGTAAATATTATGTTTCCAAATCAAAACAATTTTAAGATAAGTACAAAAAAAAAAAATTTTCGAATTTTTATATTTTCACCAATTAATAATTTCCAACAAAATATATGGATACATCAAGAATAAATACACCAAATATCAATCAATTTTTTTTTACATTTAAAAAATATTCTTTAAAAACCCTGTAGTTTTAACCTACTCTATATTGTATTCCTACATAAATGTCTTGAATTCTAGATAAATAAATGTCATATGGTACAAATTAAATATGGATACCGGTATGTGTGTTTATTCTTTGCGTATTTTTTTCCACTATTAACATTCACTATTTATTAAAATCATTGTAACTATACGGTATATATGGAATATGCTACACATTAACACATTTTGATTATCACGGATAATTCGCTATGCTGAGTTCATACACCTGGATACCATTGTTGTAACTTTATAATTGATTACAGTTTTTCTTTTAATAAATAACTATTATTATCATAGAAAAACCCTTAAAAAAAAAAAAAAATTCAAGTGACTTAATTTTTAATATTGAATCATAATACTATAGTTACTATTATATTATGTATTAAATTGAAATGGGTGACATTTAAATTTTTAAATTTAATAGGAAATTACAAAAAAAAAGTCAACTATTCATGATTGGTACTATAATCTATTTAATAAATACATTTTTTTTTTTTTTGAATACTAACTGCGTGTACGATATTTCATAAACTTCAATGAAAAATTTTAATTTACTATTATAGTTTTAACAATAACACTTATAAGCACATTCTGCTAATTATCGAAATGTATAAAATAAAAATATATTAATATTATCTCATAAAATATTCTTATATTAAAATTTTAAGTCACTATAGAAAAATACATTTTAACTTATTTTCAGGTCAAAAGTTAGTTCTATATAATACAAAAATGAATGTACCAATCAAAAATAATTAAATAACAATAATTATACGATCTAGAACATAAAATATAATTAATTATTGTACACATAATTTTTAGTTTATAAAATAAATTCTACGTTTAAAAATTACTTATTTAAGACGCAAAGAAATTAGATATAACAACAGGATTTTGTGTGGCTAAAAAAAAGAGCACGCACGTGGCATGATTGTCGCCCACACTATTCATAACGGACCACTTCCAAATTAAGCTGTTATTTTAATATTATACCTACTGAGGGGAATAATCTAATCATTCATATTGAAACAAATTTATTGTGAAGCATTGTAGCAATAATAACTGTTTAACGTTTAACAAGATGGCATCAATTTAATTTGTTTCATTTTATAACTTTAAATACCTAATATAAATTTAAAACACATAATAAATATTAATTAAATAAAACACTGTAAGTTTTTAAAACGTATTTAAAAATGATGTGAACCAACAAAACATATATTCTTCACATGTTAAGTATAATGTTTCACGTGTGAAAATGAACATATGCACTTATACTACTAACTCATAAAAAAATCTTAGTAACATTAATGAGTGCTATATAGAATATAGTACTGAGTTGAAGTGTTCTGTAAATAAAGTAATTATTTATTTTAATAATTACATTTATATCAACGTAAACCAGAGATATTCAAACTTTTTCATGCCTCGGATTTTTTACTTCTTTACAACATTTTAGTAGCTCCTAAATTATAAATTACCAAAAATGATTATATTCAAATATATGTAAATGTGTTTATTTATTTTAATATAGGTAGATATATTATTGTAAATGCGTCAATAATTGCCTGATAACAAATGTTATACAATGCATATAACACTAAAATTAAATATTTTATATTTAGAATAAAATAAGATATTAATCGCCGACATTATTATAATTATTATTTGTTTTATTCTGTGCCACGGCTTCTCTGATCAACATTGCATTGCGGTGCACTTTACAGTAGCCGCTAGTTTAAACACTTCTGACATAGATCGTAAAATTAGTTTAAAGATTATGAAATTTACAAAATATAAAGCATTTTAATGAAAAACTTAACTTAAAATACTTATAAGTTTATTCATTTTATAAATTTCCTTAAATTATAGGACATTAAATCTATACAGTATACTGCAGTATACAATTTATACATTAAATTATATCTTTATAATTTAAATCTCTATTTAAATTTAGTAGCTATCTGGTGGTCAATATAATATTAATATAACAAGTATTTTTAAATTTTAAATCTTTAATAATTATTTATTTATCATTAAATACTAAAATAAATTACTGTAATTATCGCATTTAAATAACTATTTTAAGTTAAAACCCATTAAAATCTGTTTAAAAAAAATATGCTTTAAATTATGGATAACTGGTGATATTTTCAACATCCGTGTTGCTCGAAAACTATTAAGAAAATCGTAAAATGATATGCTTATATTTATTAATATAATATTAGGTAAATATACATTTACAAAATTATTTAGATATGTAATCATGTAACTCTTAGTTTATTTATGATTGACAGAAACAAATTACTTTTCTAAAAAAATATCTTTCCTGTAAATCACATTATTTCAAAATAGGTAAGTGGAAACTTAAATTAATTTTTTTTAAGGGAAATACTATAAAAGTAATTTTCCTCAATTATCGAAACCATAACATTTTACACTTAATAATTAATAATCATTTTTTACATTTAGAATTTTATTTTGGGTAGGTATGTAAGTATAATACTGTTATAAAATTTACCTTTAATGATTAAAAACTTGCTAAAATCAAAGTTATTTTATTTATTCGTATATAGCTAGTGTACACATTACCTAATAACCATTAATAATATATTTTACATATTACTTAGTCATTTTAAAATAAAACAAAAATATATAAATATATGTATAGAATAATTTTATAAATAATTGTATCATACATCATTATATTGCATTAACATACTGCAGTTAGTAGTTAATTAAAATAAATTGAAAATTATATTTTATTAAAATAGCTTAATAGTTTATATTTATCTGACTTATCCATATAGTCTATAGTACAATGTTCATCAAACATAAGCTGTCATTAAATAATTTATTATATGTTTTGCATGAATTAAATGACATACAATATTATAAATGATATTTTTAGTATGATAGGTTTAATTATTTTCTAACACAACAAAACTATATATTAAACACATAATTCATTGTTAATGTTTAATATTAATTTAAAACCGATAAGGCGGAAGTAAAAAATAAGATTATTAGAAAATGTATAATGGTTTTAAAATGAGGACTCTAATTATTAGGTACTATTATGTTATATTATTTATTCTACTAAATCTTAAATATAAGTAATGACTGTATTTCTCTCAATTCTCAATGCATTTACAAGTTATACAACACGATTGCTGTAAGATTGCGTACATATTATTTAATTATGAGCACCTCAAACCAATATTATAAAAGCACGGCATTTTATTGATGTTCCTGCCCTACGGTGGCAAAAGCGACGAACCTTGGGACATTTTTGCGCATTGTATTTGGCGCAATCGATTGTGGGCCGCAGCCGGCAAAGGGAGTGCGAGAGTGCTGCACATATATAACATTTGGCTGAAAACTCTAACGTCATGATAACACGAAACCAAAATATAAAAACCTTAAAAATCACAGTTTTACACTAGTAATCGTAATTCCATTTTTGGCCTGTGACCGTCGCATACACACAACACATACACGTTTACACGTATTGCTATAATTGCATTTAATATACTGTGGAACATTATATTGACCAACACACGACTATATTATCATAAACTACACAATGCTGATCCGTAGTTGGCAATACTCGACAGTTATACTGGCTGTCCAGACTACTTTAATTATTAGGGTGGACAAGGATATTTCCTTATGTGTTTCATTATTTGAGGGTCGACGATACATATACATATAACTACACCAATAAGCAATTCAATACGATTATTATAACAGTAATCCTTTATCTAAATTATTATAATATGTAAAGAGTATACATAAATTTATCGTATATGTACTTCCAGTCATCTAGAATAATATAACATACAAAAAAAATTACAACACCCAGAGGCCAGAGCCATATTCGAAAATAATTATTATCGAAATTACAAATACGCGTTCCACATATTATCATAGATACTGTTCGAAAGTCGTTTCGTGTATGATATATCGACTCTGAACAGATAATATATTACATATAAAACAATATCATAGTATTATCACATTGTATAATGTTTCTTGTGTTTATTAATTGTTCGAAAAATAAATTACAAACCTCGGTATCTGTTGGACGACGGAATCACCACGATCGGGTCCACAAATCAGAAATTTGAAAATTTGAACGAAACTCTGGCAACGGAAAAATATTTGATATTATAAGGTTTCGAGCTAGCCATTATACTATCGGCTGTCATTCGCATACAACGATACTAATATATAAAACAACGGTATTAAAATTAAAATTAATAAATTTTATATTAGGTATAATATAAAAAAAAAAAAAAAAACACGGCGATACGATATAAATAACGAAAAACACTATACGCTATATAATAATTATATTATTTCGAGATGTAGACACGGAAATAAATAAAACGATATTATTGTTACGATCTCGGTGGAAGCGTAATAAAACAATATAAAATAATGATATGATGAAATTATTGCTGAAAATCGTCAGCGAGTCACGGAGCGGAGCGGTGTGCAGACCGGTATCGCATTTGTAACTGCCGCGCGTCGGGTCTGGTGCTCGGCCACGTTGGATTATCTTCGCGCGCACACCTTCCATCCAAAAACTCTCGGCCGGCTGGGGGGGGGGGTATCGGTGACCGCGGCGGCGGCAACCCTACCCCAATCTCCGGGCCTAGAGACGCGCCCGTAGCAGTCGGTACTTCGGTAGGCAATAGGCACACACACACGCGCGCGCGGGCGCACACGGACGCGACATCCGTCTGCGCGCGCCGATTTATTATAATATTTTAACAATAACAACAATAATAGCCGTGTGGCGTACCGGTCGTGTTAAATATTATGTGACGTACGCCGCCGCCGTCGATCTCACGTGGTGCGAAGACGGGCCCGCGTGTGCTCGTGTCGTCTCGGTCGGTGGGTGGTGGGATGGTTAGTTGGCGGTTTAGATCGTGCTGATCAATGATCATGTTATTATTATTATTATTATTATTATCTTACACGAATACGCGACGATCTATCGGCGCAACTTTACAGATATTATTATTATGTTACGCGGGGGTACTAAAATCAAACTTAATAATAGTTATAAATTACGATGTGAGGACAATACGTTGGGGGCGTATATCGATTGCGCCGAAATGACCTTTTTACCTGTGAACAATCTATCGATTGCGCCGCACGTCGACTCCGCCAAATTTTTTTACCTATATTGATTTCGCTGGCTATTAATCCGCCGAATATATTTTGTAAATTATTTTACTTTAATAATAGCAAAATGTGAAACGCTTACATTTACATTTATATTAATATGTTTTATTACATGTAGGTACATTGCTACTTTATACTTGTATTAAATTTTTCGTTGTGGACGACAATAAATTATTTTTTGAAATGTTTTTACTGTAACCTGCTCTGTTAATTAAAAAATATACTTTATATAATCAACATAAACAAATTTTTCGGTGGAATCAATATAGACAAATACCGGACAGAATCGATAAAACCCCTTTGTAGAGAGCACGAATTTGGGATGATACCGAGTTGCGGTTGGAATCGAAACACGTAAAAATCCAAATCCTAGTAACGGTCGGGAAATACAACTATTGTGTTTTAAATATTGATAATAATTACAATATTGATAATACACATTTAACGATTAAAAATAATATATTAATAATTAGTTATACACTGATTCACATTTGTATAAAACAAATTTTCCAAATGTCAGCGAATCAATTTTTTTTTTTTGCAAATACTGTTTCATTTTATTTTTAGTCAATTTCTGACTAATACTTTCAATGGTTTTTATAGTTTCCAAATTTATTGAATTAATTTTTGAATATGTATCAATCTGAATATTTTCCATATACTTTGAATTTCAATTGTGTTGGAATTTGGCAATCGATTCTCAGCTTTGAATTTATAATTGAAAGCTTCACTTCCACTATTCGTTCTCTAAACATTATTGTTTGTCTGAAGCTGCCCAGAGTGTGATTTGAAAAGTAAAATTATAGTCAATACACATATAGATATTGACCAAATAGTCACTAAATTTAGTAACTCTTGAATCCATAGGTTTTTCGGTAATTAATTCCAAAAACATATTTTCCACTTTATCGAAAAAATTAAACCCACTTGTTACTAGGTTATAAATTCATCTTAAATCCAGTAAAATTGTTACTAATGGTGAATCGACTATAATATTTCAAATATAAATGTGATTGGTGATGTATTAAACGAAAGACCTAAAATAACAAAATTAATTACAATTAAAACTAGTAAATTATTAGCTATATAATTATATATTACGTATATACAATGATATCCAAAACCAAATATAGATTATTATTATGTGTCGCTACAGCAGTTTTCTTACCTTTTGAGTATGTTTGTGTTATTTTTTATTAGAAGGTTAGGAAGGTAATGGAAGAGCCAAGCCGCCAAGGCTATAACTTTTAGATTCCTCTCGATGTAATTTTTTTGTTCTTAGGTAACCTATCACATTTATAATATTAAAGTTGTTATTATGTATTAGTTATTAATTAATGCCTCATCCTTCCTCTGCAAAATCAAAAATATGAATTTCAGATAGATATATTAATAAAAATTAAGGTTTTTTATTTTTATTTTTTACACATTTAATGAACACCATGCACATGAACAGACAAGATTAGTTATGGAATTTGTACGGTAATCCTTCCATTGTAAAATTACGTAAAATGAAAAATACATAGTAATAATCAGCAACCGCACTCTCCAGCCCCCATACCAATTTTAAAAATTAACTTTTTCGAAATTTTTATTTTTTACAAATATAAAGCACACCATTCCCGTGGAAAAACCTAATTTTAAAAATATTACACTTCTCCTTCTTCTCACACTAAATAAAAATCACATAGAGAGGCTACAGTGATTACAGATTTTTTTGGTGAAAATCATTCTACAATATCTGGAGAATTTATTGGAAAATGGAAAGTGTACCAAAGGTATCACTATACGATTAGGCAATATCGTAGTGATCTAGCATTGCAAAGTTGTTGTAATCAAATAATTTCTTTTATAGAATTAAAAATATATTATAATTAGCTATCCAATGAATTTATGTGATGGAAAAGTGTAGGTTATTAAATTATAGAATAAATGTGTGTATGTATGAACTAAATACTAAAATATTAAGCACGTAGACTGTGCTGTTCATACTTCATATATTATTAATATTGATAATAATGGACTTTCTGATAACGTTGACCGTTAACGGATACCACTGCATAAGATAAATCCGTAGAAAATCTTAAACTGTGGTCCGTGACACGTACCGACGTTCCAGTGACCTAGTCATCACATTACGAGTATGGATCAGATAAATAACGTCTAATGACGTTGATCACGTGCAATCAACGTCCATGACGTCTTAATCGAATAATCGATAAATCACGCGTACGATTAAACAATGAAAAAAAAGACGCGGACGACAATGAACTGCCGCGACATCGATACGTTATGCACGCCGTTACACGATAATATCATGTCTCCAAATATCATCATACAATGATGGACGGTCGGCGTTTCGGCGGTGTACGCCGAAAATCCACGAGTAAAGCGTGCCCAACAGACCAGACACGAAACGCGATACCACGCATGGCGTTAGGTATAGCCCGGTATAAGGTACCTAAAGCTAAAAGCCTCGTTTTGAACGGGACGTTCCCGTTTTTCGTGTTTCCATCCCGTTGTTCTCCCGGGGAATCTTCGGGACACCGAAATATCCCGTTTTCAGATGATGAACAAAGAAAATACAACGAAAATTAATATCTGTTGATCGACCTATTATGTTTCTATACGACATATCTAAATACTCTAAAACTAGATTTGTCCAGGATCTTACTCGTTCCTGAAGTCACCGTCCGACTTATTAAAATAAATTTGTTCCAACAACAAATATTTTAGTATATAAACTAACTAGTGAACGTAATAATTTTCTTTTTGATTATTAAATTAAAAAAAAAAAAAAAAGTATTTATTTACGATAAAAATGATACTTATTAACAATTGTGTAGTTACAATTAATTTCGTTTTTTGATCTATATACAATATATTAGTATTGCAGTAATTTTGTTTATGATAATTTTTTTGTTCCGTTTTCGCCAAAAAAAGTATTTAGTCGTCGTCATAGGTATACCTACCTACTACACGCGGTAGTAGGTATACGCGTGACAAAACATGCGCTACGATATTGTAATATTGTAGCCTTCGCACGCGCTAAACGGACGGACGACATACGATCCGCGATCGGGCGAATTCGAGCAAACGCGCAAACCTGGCGCAAGGCAACGAATATAATATAAGCGGCGGACGACCGTCGGTGATGTGCGTAACGGAGCGAATACAAAACGCGCGTACACGCACGACGCATTCGCGTGCGGTAAATGACACGCACGCAACCGACGCGGCCCAAAAGAAACGCACCGGCGGAAAAACTGCAAACGATACCGAGCGCGGTTCAAAAAGAAAAAAACCACAACAACTTGTGTGTTATTAAAAATTTAAGAGAAAAAAAAAGTATAAGAAGCAATTATTTTGGTATGTTTTACTGTGCAGGACATTTTTTTTTTACTTCCAGCCGATAGCGCGATGATTGAAAAAATTACAAATTTACTCGTTCTCTTTTAGCCGCGCACCGATCGTCCATTAATACGATATTATGTTAGAGCAATGGTATAACGGTACATGTATACATCAGATCCACTCGTCATACCTACCTATTGCAGTTAAACATAATATAGAATGTTTTTTTTTATATATATAAGCTGATCATTGAATAATTAGAACTGCAACGTTACCTATACTTGGTTCTGTTAAAATTTAAAATATTGTAACTCTGGAACGTCAAACGATTACATTTTCTTGAAATTTAAATTTCAAATAGTTCTGACTGTTCTATGATTCGTCTGCCAAAGATTGGTCCGCCAATAGATTATATTCTAATTGGATTTTCGGCTCCCCAAATTTTTTAGGTTAGGTAAGGTAACATACACGACATATTATTTGACTATTCATTATACTTAATTATTCACAGAAAACACCCGTCACCTGGTCCATATATGAATATGATGTATTGACCTTTCATTATCAATCATGAGATAAAACATTTATTTTTCTTATAATGGTATTTGAATTTGAATATGGTAATAATTAATAATAATAATTATACTATTATTTTGAACACATTTATATTTGGTGTATATAATTATTAATTTTATAGTCATGGAAATATTGTGATAACTTTGAGTGTTTTGACCTTTAATATTTGTTAGTTATAACTTATAAGTATATAACATCAGGCGACGGCACATTTAATTGATATATTGAGTTAAATTCGCTACACTCGCATGCGCTGTCTTTTTCTTCAAACACATAACATAGCCAATTATACATTCTGGAGAACTTATTCAACTCCTATATGCTACTTTAAAATTTTTACGTAATAATGTTATTTGGTGAATTTCGTAGATTGCTTCTATAATTTAATTTTAAATCCAGATATTAACATATTAAAATACACTAACAACTTAGAATTTTAAATTATTCATAACCTCTTAAGTCGTAATAGTTAATAGTTAATACTAAATTTAATAGGG